GATCATTTAGGCTTTTTTTTGTTATGAAATGCTAAAGATTGTTGTAATTCGATTTAACTACAATAATATATTGATTCTTTATTATATAATGGCGCTACTATATAAAAACAATATATATCACTAATAATTCTTAATTGTAAATAAAATATTGTTGCTTTACTAGATTTAGCTTTTTCGAATAAAATATAATAGAATACTATTGTTGGATCAATGTATTTTTAATCCTTTTTGAGAAAAATTGTAATAATACGTAATTCAATACAAAGATCGAAATATCGGTTTCGATTATTATGTAGAGTAAGGGATCGAAATACCAAAGAATAGGTGTTGATATAAAAACTCTCTTTAATATTTCAAATATCTTTTGTGCTTTGTTAATTTATTTGAACTTGATTATTGTTTTTCCTTTTTATATTTTTTTCATTAATATAATTATATCATAAGTTATCACCAAATAAATCTTAATGAATTATTAATAAAAATTTGCAAAGCTAAGAAACATTTATATATCCCTTAGACTATTAGATATTAGCTATTCCATAATAGTTTGAATATGTTTGGGTTCCATTGTAACCCTTTCAGTTGAGATAATGAATTCTAAAAATTCGATTTCGTTAGTATAGAAAATATATTTCTTTAATTTTATAAAGAACTTATACTCAATAAGACATACAAATATTTGTCGGATATTCACTATATATATAATTCTATCTTTGAAATAGATTAGAATATCGTTGAGGTATATTATATATATATTATCCACTAATCCTGTTAGTGCTTGATTAATATATATTTGAAATATTATAAGAATATTAATAAGACCAAAAGGCATTATCTTATACTTATACTAGCCATATTGTGTATAAAATGCTGTTTTTCATTTGTTGCCTACTCTTATATGAATATAATAATATACATCTCTCAGATCTAATTTAGTAAATATAGTACCTTATTGAAATCGATTTAGGAATTTACTAATAAGGGGTAAAAGAGTTCGATCCTTTTTTGTAATTCGATTAAGCTTTTGATAATTGATATATAATCAATAATCTTCTTCTTTCTTTGAAACAAATATAATAAAAGCTTTTGCTAAATTAATAAATCTTTTTATTCATTCTTTCTTTTAATATTCATTTAAATAATCTTATAGTATTACTAACTCTTCCTTTAATAAGGAATAGATTGGGCTTTATAGGGGGGTTAAATCAGGCTTGAGGTTAATACAATATTTTATAAAATAATATTCAGATAAAAGACTACTTTCTTTTTCAAAGAAAGCTTTTTTATATTCTTAGAATTCCTTTAATATCTTATATAAGATTAATATAAGTATTAAATAACCTCCTTTTATTTTTAAATACAATATTATCTTATTCAAAAAGATTATAAAAACTATTTTACTTTCTTTTATCTCCCAATAAAATTCTTTTATAAAAATAATCTCAAGCTTACTCAAGGTACAGCGATATTGAAATAATATTGATTTCCAATCGATATCGGGATTGACTATTTATAATCATAGAAAACCTAGAATAATATTTATTTATAATAAATCCAGTATTGTTAATATAAAACTATGAATGTGAGTTCTTCTTTTCCCTTTTTTATCTTTTATTTTAATAAAGAATTTGTAATTCTTATATAATATAATTACAATATTATTTATTGATATAAGGGAAGTGCTTTTCTTAATAAAAATCTAGTTTTATTTAATATACTTACTTTACTATATAATATTAGTTTGTGTTCCTGAGTTAATAAGATATTGAAGTATTATTGATTTATTGTTATTATTAAAGATCACTATGATTATAAAAATTATTCACCCTTTTTATATAAACTCAATATCAATAGAACATTTATTATAATTACTGAATCTAAACATTTTCTATATAGATAATCTCAGATAGATTACTTTGACAATTGGATTCTCTATACCTTCTTTTACAATATCTATATATAATGTTGTTTCGATAGATTATAGTATAGTATCCCTTTTATTAATATCTATAGTATATAGTGTTCCAAATACAATCTGTATATAGTACCTCAACAGAATATTTCAAGGCCTTAGGGGGTTTTCCTTAAAAGGGTTGATTAGATTCTTGAGCCTTTGGTTTAATAATTAGAATTAGATTGTTTTCTAGATAAAGGTGTTTAAAAGGATTTTGATATCAAGAGAGTGATTGATTATATTTACAGGGTTACTATAGCTTCCCTGTATCTTTTCTTCAAAACAATTTCTCCATACTTTCCAATCTACAGACTTATCTTATAAACTCATTACACAACTCAGATTGTTATAAGAATTCCAAGATTTTTCTGGCTATATTAAGTAATAAACCCACTAAAAACCTCTCAACCCAAACACTCTCCACTTCCTACTCGATATCTTCTTCAAGACCTTTTAGATAAATTACAAATACATTTACAATTTCTCCTTCCCTTTACCTTATATACACAATCTTTTAAATTACTTATTACTATCTAATCTCTTTATCTATAATAATATTATATATATACTCCCTAAAGTTTTCCTAGTTTATCTTTTCATAACTCAACTCACTTATATATCGATACCAAATCGCTAGAAACTATCTTTCAAAATATTAAATAATATATTCTATCTTTTTCATATTAATAGGAAAATAATATCCACTATCGCTTTGAAATATAATTTCTGCCTGAAAAAAGAAATTCTTAGTTTTCTCGATATTCTTTTCTTCATATTATTTTAATCTCTATAACTTCAATGATTTTCCCGAATTGAGATTAATAATCTGATGGGTTGCATTCAGTATAATTGCAGATTGATTATACTCGACCAGAGTGGTTGTATATAAGATACAATTTATAGTCACTCTATAAGCTTCTCTTATAACTACCATTTCTTCTTTCATTTCTCAAAATTGTTGAGTCAACAATGTATTCTTGTTATTACTAAAAAAACATAATAGAACCGAATAAACATCACTGCCAATACCCTATAGAAATTGATTAACAATTTTACCGGATTGGTTTTGAATCACATTGTAGGTATTCTGCTTTCTCTTTAGAATAAATATTCTTCTTATTGAAACTATAATAATATTGATAATTACTCAATTAAGAAATAGTTGATAAATTACTTTATATATAGAATAAAAAGAATTATTAAAATAGATAATAATAATAAATCAATTAGGTATAATATAATACAAAGACTTTTTATTAATTTTTCTAAACTATGAAAATTCTACAATTTATAATTGTACGCAGGTTGGCATCGGCCCGGGGTAGGCCTGCAGGGCTACTCACATGTCCTCGCCAGCCCTTATGCGGATTGACCGTGACAGAAAGACAGGATATAATACAAGAATCTATCAAAATGATGTAATAGATTTTAGATTATTAGATTCTTAATAGTTTCAATTAATTGATTCAATTGTTGTTGAATAATATGAGTTTGAAAGTATAAATTGAGGTGAAAGTGGGCCACTCGATGATATGGGCCACTCGATGATAAACCACGTTATTCAAACTTTTTGTTGTATAATGGCAGGCAACGATCCTACTTCTTTGAAATGCTCATACTTTCAAAACTCAATCTTTATTATCGTAGTGCTCAATGAATTTCTAGTCACTTGCATGAGCTTTTGAAATACATATCTGAGAATTCGGAAAGAAATCAATGCCGGCAAATGAGACTCTCGTCTTGAGTGAATATCCCTTGATTTCTGAAAAGGAATTTGACAGCAACAACGAGGAGACGGTAGTGAAAATCGCTGTTCGAAAGACATCAAATGGGAACCTGCTTTCAGGTACACTGTAGAAACAACTTAGGAGTGTACTGTGAAGTTGAAGTTGTAGCAAAGCTTCGCAAGAAATTGCGGTCTTCGCCTAGGTAGTCATGGTCTGCTGGCCCCTTGGATCTCACAAACGTGGCGAATCAAATGCATATTAGCTGGAGATTCATATAGATAGAGAATAAGAGATGTGGGTGGTGTTGTTAGGCCGAAACATCAAGCTTGTAACTTGCATGCCGATGCCCAAAAATTTAATAGATGAGCTTCCCACTTCAAGGCAAGGTCAGTAGAGGAAGATTCAGGATCTTTGCTCTCCATTCAACCGGCAACTCCATATACATTGCACTCTTCTTTCCTAGTCAATCTCCCCCACATCATATCTTGTAATTCGTTTCAATGACGACAATACCTAAGTTACGGCAACTATGATAACTATTTTGACAACAAAAGATCTCCTCTTTTGAATACAGAACCGTGTTATAGGAGAACGCTTGTTACTATTGACAATCGCCATACTAAACCCTTTAAGCGTGAATACCAACCTGTCAATGTCGAGCTGCACCTTCAATCAACTCCATGAACGCGTTTAGAGATAGTACCGTTTGAAGAAAAAACAGGTAATTGTGGTGTGGTTTGAGAGTTCTTGTCGATGCTCAAAGCATTGCCTTTTGTACCCGTGTATTCATAAATCAACCCAACAAGCTTGCCAACTCAGCCTAGTCTCCGCTTATACTGGTGAATCATTCACAGATTTCCGCAGATCATTCACACAACACTAGGTACCGCAAAATTTATGTACGACCCAGTTCCTTCTTCCAATATACCAGCTAGTGTGTTCAATAGAGACGGGACAAAGCCCAATCATATTGTTTGATTGTCAGGTATAGCATGTATATGAGCGTTTGCAACCCACATAGAATGAACTCGAAGAGAATGATACATTATGACACACAAAATCTTAACAATCCTTGATTGAAGTTCATATACAACACTTCGCTCATCACTAGCCAGGCGTTAAGTGTTTCCTAACACGGCCCACCTTTCACCGCAAGATATCCATCCTCTTCCCCTCCAATGAAGCACATTAAGCCAAAGCTAAATACAATAAATTACACATTTCAATTGTAATTAGAAGAAGATATCACAACAAAAGTAATGTCGAATCACTATCTCCTAATACACATATCAAAACCGAGAGCTTCCCTCTCAATACACCTATTTTGGAGCCTCCCCATCGACGAAGCTCAACGCATCTTCTTTTCCAACAACACCAATTCCACTAGTCTTGTTATGGAAAGTAACACCATAACATTTATTTGCCACTAGCACCATCTCTGGTCTGAATGTAGTGCAAATGAATTGTCCACCCATAACTTTTTGTTTCTTAGAACCACCTTCACCATCTTCATCGTTATCAGATTCTTCATCTGAGTTATCTTGCGACTGAGAAGCTTGTGATTGTTTAGCTGAGATTTCCTTGAGCATTTGAGCTACAGCGGTACGGTACTGAGCATCAAGATTTGCGTCAATTTCATCAAAGAGATAGAAAGGAGCTGGGTCACATTGTTGAATCGCAAAGACAAGAGCGAGGGCGCATAGACCTACAGGGAAGGCAAGTTAGTATACTGGATAAAAAATCTGCGGAGGGGAATAACATACTCTTTTGTCCACCGGATAATTGTTGAATACGTTGTTGATCGTCGTGTTTACTATTGAAGCTGACACTGATTCCAACACCAACATAATTCTCAACACTATCCCGTGCTTCTTCATCCGAATCTTCTTCCTCTCTAGCACGACGGTCCGTTTTACGTTGAATAACAAGACGACCGCGACCAGCTGGGACAAGACGCTCGAAAATTTGGGCAAACTCCTTAGATACTTGCTTGAATGTTCGCTCAATGGCTTCATCCTTACGTTGATCAAGGACTTCAACGAGTTCTTGAATTGATGATTGGGAATCATCAAGTTCCTTCCTACGCTTAGTCAAACTATCACGCTGCGTTGTGAATTGATTGTATTGTTCGAATGCCTTCTTGTTAACGTGTTTATATTTCTTGAGAGCTTCTTGAACCTTTTTGAGTCGTGATTGAATCTAAAAAATGTTAGTGCACGGGATAAATAGATTATCGTGGAAGTTTGCTTACGGATTTTGGATCATAGTCCTTATACTTCTCGAATGCTTCATCAGGCAAGACACCCAAGTCGCGAATGTTCTTGGCGCAATCTGCAGCACTAGTGGTAAGAATGGCCTTTCGAGCAATACTCTTCTCCATCCTCTTTTGATGCTTCTCAATTAATGCAGCAATCTTATTCTGTTCGTCTTCTTGGCGACTCCTCTCCTGTTCCAAATTGTTGATGTTTGATTCGGCTTCCTCCAATTGCTTTTCATTTTCCTTGAGCTTTGACTCTACAGCACTTGAAGCCTTGGTGATACGCTTCAATTCTCTTTGGGATTCTTTCAGATTACCAGAACCACTACCGGTAGCAAGATCGAATTCTTGACTATTTAATTGATCAAGTCTGAGTCTAAGATTCTCACGGAGATCAACCTCAATCATCTGTTTACGGCTCTCGAGATCTCTTCGACTTCTGCTGTGTTCATTCCATTGCTTTTGTAGATCCTGGACGGAAGCATTGAGTTGCTCAAGCTGTCGTTCTTCATTGGCCGTCAATGCCTTCTTAAAATCGGACGCAATTTCTACTTCGTAATCAGCAATTTTAGCGGCATGATCTTTCAACAATTTGAGAACATCTGCTTGATTGCGAAGAAGTTGTTCAAGCTGCGCCTTCTGTCTTTCAAGGTGCGCTTGTTTGGATCTCAGCCCTGACTTCAATGGATCCAGGCCGTCAACAAGTTTGTGCTCCTTTTGACTAGCCTTTTGTTCTTCAGTATAAGCGGCGGTGATTTCTTGATCTTTTTGCTCAATTTCCTTTCTGATCTCATCTTGTCGTACCTTCAAAGTTTCGTACTCATCTCGCCATTTGGTCAGTGCACGAACAGCTTGAAGTCTTGATTCCTTCGGATTAAGATATCCACCAGTCAAGGCACCTTTCCTATTTGTAGTATCACCATCTGGTGTAATGGCATTACATCCGTGACTTCTTGCATACTGAGCAGCAATTGTGAGGTTAGGACAAACGATGGTCTTACCGAATACTTGCTCAAAGGCTGGTTCATACTTTTTGTCGTACCGAATCTTGCTCAACATAGGTATGGCATCAGATGCATTTGGCAAGTTACCTGGTTTGAATCTGAGTTGGCTCAAAGGAACAAATGTAAGTCTTCCGCCCTTATCCGCATTTAAAGCATTAATAAGTTGGGTTGCGGTTTCTTCGTTATCAACGACGTAATTGAAAAGACTGCTACCGGCGGTCTGTTCCACAGCTACTCGATAAATATCTTCGACTTCAAGGAGTTCTGCTAGAGTGCCGTATGCTCCTTGAATGTTGTGCTGCTTCTTGAGACGTCTGACAGTGGCTAAACCCCGAGATGTGGCGCTATCCATGGTCTTTGCTAATTCCGACTCGGCTTGAAGTACTTCTTTGCGAGCATCCTCTATGACCGAGTGAAGTTTTTCGTCCTCTCTTCGTAGCAATTTTCTCTCATCCTGCAACTTCTCCAAAGATTCTTTGGCAGTAGAGACTTCTTCGGCTAAGGCTATTCTATTGCCACTCCATCCGTCTAATCGCTCCTGAAGGCCAGAAATTTCGGTTTCCAAATTTCGGATTTCAGATTGCACGTTGTTCACCTCTTCGTCGCCATCGATTCGATTTGCCTTCTGTGATCCAATTGTGGAGTTGAGCTCTTCGATTTCCTTCCTTAAAAATTGGTCACGTTCAGCCTTTGTCCTAAATTGGTTGCTACGAGCTTGTTTTGCGTAGAGTCTATTTCTGCCAGCCTCCGCTTCGTCAAGATTTCGCTTAACTTCGGCTTCGCTAGCTTTTCGTCTCGTAAAATCCGGGAGTAATTGTGCAAGTTCGGCCTCTTTCGAAGCTATTTCTTCTTTCACGGAATTTAATTCTTGCTGATGCCTCACACGCGATTGTTCTGTAGACGATTGGTTGGCTGTCAATGTTTTGACGTCTAATTCGATCTTGGCCCGAGCTTTTGCAGTATCTCGTCTGTCCTCCTCCAATTGACGTCTGTCTACTCTGAGGAGCTCCATTTGTCGAGTCAACTGTTTGATTTGTGTGTCTAGTTGGGCGATGGCCTTTTCTCCTTCCATGAATGCGTCCCTGTTCTCGTCACCATCACCGCCACCTTGTCTAAACTCATCGATTTCCTCCAGTTTTTCGGCAATTGCGACTTGTTCCTGGTGAAAGAAGGCATATTGTAGACATCGACGATCCTTATCTTTCTCCTGATAACCTCTCAATTCCTCCTTCTCCTCCTCTAGTTCTGCCAGACGTTCCTTAATGTATTCCAACAATTCATCAATCTTGGCACGTTTGTTATTAGTATCTGTCATAATCTTCAGGGACTCAGTACGGCGTTGCTCATAGACTTGCGTTCCAGCCACTTCCTTCAACAAGTTTAATCTCTCACCATCTTTCATGTTGGTAAGAGCTGTAACACGTCCTTGAGGCACAATGTAATATGGATTCGACCTAGAAAAACCTGCGGTTTCCAGAAGATTGAGAACATCGGTTTTCGTAGCATTTTTCTTGTCCAGAGAATATTCATCCTTCTTCAATCCAATTGTTCGACGAAGGTAGAGCTCGTTCTTGCCAGTAGGAAAACGTCCGTCGGAATTGTCAAAAATGATTTCAACATATGCGGACATAACCGCAGATCCTGAACCTTCGTGAAGCAAAGCCTGTCGCTCTTCACGACCCATCTGAGTATACGCATCGCTGAGAACGAATCGAATAGCTGCGAAAAAGTTACTCTTTCCCGATCCATTTCTGCCAACAATTACATTTGTCGCTGGAGAAAATTCGTCGATGAGTGTTTGATCCTTATAACTATATGTGTGTGTTAGGATGCATTATCTTCTGTCGTAGTGAAAAACGCACCTTTTGAAGCCCTGGATATTTATCTGCTTGATATAAACCATCGCGACCACTTGTCGCCAGTGGGGCAACGATTATTCTTGCTGATTATGAAGAGCGCTTCAAAAGGGATAAACTGATCTCGGTTTATTCTGAATAATTTGCAAGAGTTTCGCCAAGCGCAACTGTACAATCAGTATTCAATCGAGGTTTTAATGAGTTTGTCGCGTCAACAAGCTGAAAGTTCAAGAAACGCGATTGAGGTCGCGATTCTTAGCGTAGAAAAGTGACGTCTCACCGCCCTATGGCAGAAATTCTCCATGATAATTTCAGTCAGTCATTCTTCACCCTCCACTTTTTAGAGCACCTGAGGTCGATACACAATATCAGATTAATCTGCTTATTGAAGAGATGGCAGATAATAACGAGATACCCACACCTGTATCTGCAGCAGCAGGACAAGAACCATCTCACACATATATTCCAAATCAAGGATACGCCCACCCCGCCACTTCAGATGCCCCTCCAATGACTCCGACTTCTGGTGAAAATACAGAATATGCCGCAGATAACGAAGACGATGCATACGATGATTTATTCGATGAGGAAGATGACGGATACGTTGACGATGTCGATTATGACCCATCTTCCGGTGATTTAACCAAATCCTATAACCGTCAACGCAAGCTCAATGATGCAACCGCCACTGGTGCCCCTCGAATAAATCCCCAAAGACCGGCTGCGAATACCAAGGCAAGTGTCGATGATCAGATCACCAGTTTGTCAAAACATGCTGCTAAGATCAGATTGGATGGCAGTTTCGATGGAGGTCATAAAACACATGGAAAAGATAAATCGGATCGTGCGACGAGTGAACAAGTTTTGGATCCTCGTACACGTATGATTTTACTTCAAATGATCAATAGAGGTATTGTTTCCGAAGTCAACGGATGTTTAAGTACGGGTAAGGAAGCGAACGTATATGGGGCCTTGTCAATTCCTTCGACAGACGCAGATTCACAACCAATTCACCGGGCTATTAAGGTCTACAAGACTAGTATCTTGGTCTTTAAGGATCGTGATCGTTATGTTACTGGTGAACATAGATTCAGATCAGGATACAATAAAGGAAATAACAGAGCTATGGTCAAAGTCTGGGCTGAGAAAGAGTTCCGAAATTTAAAACGTCTACATTTGGCTGGAATCCCTTGTCCAGAACCTGTCCATCTACGTCTACATGTCCTTGTCATGGGGTTCCTAGGTGATAAGAAGGGATGGGCCGCACCAAGACTTCGAGATGTAGAGCTCTCTGGTGATGACGTCGATGAACAGTATCGATTGCTCTACCTACAACTCATTGGACTCATGCGAAGAATGTACCAAACGTGTAAACTTGTTCACGCAGATTTGAGTGAGTATAACGTACTATACCACCAGAAAAAACTTTTCATTATCGATGTTTCTCAAAGTGTTGAGCACGACCATCCTCGTTCATTGGAATTCCTCCGAATGGATATCAAGAACGTATCCGATTTCTTCAAGCGCAAGAATGTCGAAGTCCTATCCGAACAGACCATTTACCAATTTATCACTTTCCATGATGGACCAACCCAGGAGCCAGGACTCAGTGAAGCGCTTGAGAAACTACTTCTTGAAAGACCTGAAGAAGATGAAACTGAAGAAGCTGTCGCCAAACGACAAGTAGAAAATGAAGTTTACCGTCAACAATACATACCACAAACTCTAGAGCAAGTCTACGATTTCGAGCGCGATGCTGAGAAAGTAGGAAAGGGTGAACGAGGCGACCTTGTGTATCGAAATTTGTTGGCTGCGGATAAAATGCCTATGTCTTCGGGCAACGAGGCGGATGCAGAGGATACAATGGGCGACGGTACTAGTCAGGCCAGTGATGATGATGAAGATGCGGATGGTGACGAAGATGGAGAGGATGGAGATGATGACGATGACGAGAAGCGATTTGAGAAGGGTACACCGAGAGGGAAGAGATTCGAGGACAAAGATGCTAAGAAGGTATGTTGATTTCAAATATTTGTTTTCCTATTCGCCTGTCTACCCTATCATGGAATGATGACCCAATTTCCATCCACAAAACATGACCTCCCTTCTGGGACCAGATTACAAATCACGAGAACTTTATGTCTGACCACCACTCAATTATCTCCATTAATTTGCTTCATTTCATATTTATTGGAAGCTAACAAGCAATAGGAACACAAGAAAGCAGTCAAAGAAGAAAAACGTGAAAAGAGAAAAGACAAAATTCCCAAACATCTCAAGAAGAAACTTGTGAGCTCGACGGCAAAACATAAGCACTAGTTTTAAAGTCGAAAAATTAAATCCAAATAATAAATTACTGCATCAAAACATTTGATCGCCGGCTTCTTGACATGATAGTAAACGGTAAGTACTCATTATCTTTGTCTAGCTACCTCCTCCCAAAGATGCAGAGAAATCTTCAAAACGAACACCCGGATGAAGAAACAAACATCACTTCTCCCGACCCAATGCATCGGAGTAGTGTCTTGCCAAGGGGTTTCCTTCAGCAAAACCTCTTTGGTGTATGGGTCACACTACCGGAGAAGCTGAGATACTTCTACTTTCAACGAGAGTAGGAGATATGCTGATCAAAGAGAGCACTGACGGGTGTTCTGTTTACGGAGTTTGTTTTTTTCCCTTGCTATTCAATCTGTTGGGAAGAGATACCTAAGAGAAACAATGTGAAAGTGTCAGTTGGTGAGCTTAGGGAGAAAAACTTTCTCGTATGATGAAATCACAATATAGCGAAATCAAGCAGAGAACAAAATGTACTATCTGTGTATATGCATATGTATTCATTCGCTATACCCTAATGTTTGCTATCTGAAACTGTGATTCTACACTTACAATTCCTGGAAAGGCCGTGGCCATATAATGTGAACTCCCTGTAAAAAACGCAAAACCATGGTTCATTATAAAATCATCCATCCCCATTATATCCACAATCCTGACCATCCGTGCATCCAACCATCGCATACATAACATCGTATCGTATTTCGTCCCAATATTTGCTTTCCATTTACCTCCATCCATCCCAGACCAATTCATACAAGCATCGCATCCCAATCATTCCTCACTCGTCAGATCGTTTACTCCCTTCTATATCCCCCATTTCTTTTCTTCCTTCTATCTTCTGTATAATCCGTTTCGTTTCCACCTCTCTCACTACTCAAGCCCGGAATAAAGCAAGGATAACTCTTATGTCCAGTATCCCCACTAACCTCACTATCCTCCCTCACACTACTCAACTCGCTTCCACCGACACTCGACTCAGCAGCGGAATAAGCAGGTGGAGCCAAATGTGATTGATCTCTGCTTTGCTTTCTAGCCTCGCGCCTAGCACGTCTCGCCTCTCGTTCACGACGCTCTTGGTCTCTTATTGCGGCTGCGTCACGAGATGAAATGAGGGAAGATGCGGCTGCGGAACTATTATCGTCACCAACGCGGAAACTGAAATCTCTACGTTGAGCTGCGCGTCCCTTGTCTTGAAGTTTCTTGGCTTCTGCTTTGATTCTCTCATCATCCGTTACACTTGAATCGGCCTCGCTCTGTCTTGAGCTCTTCTTGGTTGTGTTCTGCCTGTTCCAGAAAGTCGAGCTTCCACCATTATCCTTTGTCGAAGTAGCAACACGTGGGCCTTGAACCGTTCCGATAACCTTTCGAATTTTGTAGTGATCTTTGTTGTTACTCTTCTTTGGCCTCTCGGGGGCACGCTCAGGAGATCTCTCGCGGTTTTGCATAAGTCCATCAGAAACAGTTGAGCCTTCAGGGTTTGTAGATCCTTCCCAAATACTAGATTCGCTTTCTCTGTTCATGCCACCGACTCGTGCTGGTTTCTCGTGACGGTATGCTCGAAGGTCTGCAATATCGTCGCCGTATTCGGATTCGGGTACATCACCCAAGTCACCACCGCGGAGTCTGCTCTTTTTATTCTTCTTTTCCTTTCGAGGATAATTGACCTCACTCATCTCGCTATAAGTGACCTCACTTTGTGTACCTAGTGAACTCTCTTCCTCATCATAGTCCTTGTATCTCGATCTCTCCATACCACTCCCACCCCTCTTACTCTTTTTATTCTTCCTTCCCCATGTGCTCCTCTTCTTTTCTCCGTGAACAATACTACCACCTCCAAGATCCGTAGCCTCTGAAGCTCCAGAGAGAGTAGTACCATTGGGACCTTTGCGTCTCAAGACCGTAGACTTATAATCATCCCAATCATTTTCGTGAAAGACAAATCCACCATTTTTAGCGATGAAAAAGAACCAGATACCAGTGATAACAAAACCAGCGCCAATCAGTCCAATAACTATGAAGACGAATTTGTTAGGAACAGTGTCGAAAGGTGTAACACCACTGGAGGGATCAACTGTGGGGACTACATCGCGTGCGGAGAGAGCTTTGGAGATGATATTTGGTGCGGAAGAAACGATGTCGGAAGATGGAGATGAAGAAGCAACGGCGGTACGTTTGAGGAGAGGAGAGACGTAAGAGGAGATAACAGGCATGATTGATATATTTTCGCAAGAAGCGCCGTGATTTGGGTTGGTATTAGAAGATGATGAAGTTGTATTTACTTCAACATCCAACTAAGTACAGCCTCGTACCATCAGCAGTGATAAAGGGTTATCGTAAATTGAAATATTCGTCAATTGAGCTTCACGAAGTAAAAAAATTACCGGAACGAATTGATAAGACTTGAAAGACTCAGTCAAAAAGTTCCTGTGTTGGATAGCATTGCCAACTCACGTTCCTTGGAATAAATTACGAGGCTGGGGGAAAAGCGGGAGGCTGGTTATTGTCGTTTGTTTACACAGCAACCAGGCACGTGCTTAAATCTATTTTTGGTTGTTGTTCTCGCTTCTAGGCCCTTGTGAAAGATCTAGACAAACCTTGGAACAATCAATCACATCAAATTCATTTGAGTTGGCCTTGCGTGCATATGCACAGAATATATGAGAGCACTAGGAAAGTCTAATTGTTTAGGGCTGAATGTGGAACGATGAAGTGC